TCTGTGTGATTAATCTGTGCCATGACACAGATTTATAGTAATTTGTAATTTGTGCTGCTGCGTGCTCATCCAGTGTCGACCGTATGTTTTCTCTTACCGCTGGCTCACTGATGGCTGCGGCGCCCTGTGCACGAGGAGGCGAGACCAGAGAAAAGTCCAAGGCTGCAGATTTAATCTGGCTGCTGCGATCATGTGATTAGTCGTGGCCTGGAGCCACGTGCGCAGAGTAATTTATGGTGAGGGGGTCAACACGTTTGGAAGCTCCTGAGGGAAATCTCACGATAAACGAACACACCATTCTTCTCTTCACCTCCATTCCCATCGTAACATTACAGCTCTGACAGACGGGTGTTTGAACGTTAATGATTCTTATTTGAGACTTTAAGGATAATGGCTCAGACTCCTGGAGCCGTTTCATTAAGAAGGTTTAAAGATCTGTGGACTGTGGCCGTCACGCAGAGATCTGGACAAAGACTAGAAGAGTCCACTGAGTCGTCGCGTCACAGAATGAACTTAGCAGATACATTTACAGTATTAAAAATATTTAAGCTAATGAGCTCAGTAAAGAAACAGGTTAAAGAGAATATTGAGGACTGGGCTTCACCCTCTTCTGCCTCCTCGAGGCCACAGATGTGCTGGTGAGTGTTGGTGCAATCCTTTTCCAAACCCGGGCGTCGGTAAATAAACATCACAAGAGTTGGAGGAAACACTCAGCGGGGTGTGACGAGAGACTTTTAGGTAAATGTAGTTGTTTTACTGCCAGCTTCAAGCAGTGCTGATCACAGCAGCTTCCTCTCTGACCTTCCCCACCAGCTGCTCACCATCTCACCCCCATCCAGCAGGACTTACCCGCCTGTGCACGGCCTGTGCACGGCCTGTGCACGGCCTGTGCACGGCCTGCGTGACTTTTCTCCTTGGCCACTTTATTGTCATGTTATCCACTCCTGATGGGGTTTATATCTAGATGGACATTGTCCGGTGCATGGAGCGTCTCAAGAGCAGTGTGGTTTATACACGTGTGCTTCTCCCTTCCTTCGTTGTGTTTATGAATGTGAACAAATATGTAAATACAGTGACAGTGACGTGTTCTTCCACCGCATGGTGTGGTTTCATTGTAAATTAAAGGCCAAGCATCCCTTGGCAGAATGCAGTTTCATTTTGCCCACCGTCCTTCATGACAAAGTTTTAAATTAAAATATTGTGATGAACGAGACAGAGCTGGAGTCATTTAGGTTGAAATTAATGAAGTTATGCAAGACCTTGTGATCTGTGAGATCTTGCATGAGTTGGTGCACAGGGGATGACTCTCCACTACTACCACAGCAAATGTATTTGAATATGAGGACATGTGACAAAGTCGTAGCCACTTTTCTGCTGCGATCAGTTGAAGTGACGTGTTAGAGGGAGAAATGTTAAAAGGATTCAGTTTCTGTTCATAACATGTGTTGCTACAGACCAGCAGGAGTCACACAGTTAAGTTTTAGACAAATGTGTTGTCCTGAAGAGCACGTGTTCGTACTGACTCTCAGCTACTAGCACTCTAAATTTAAATTCTATATTTGTAAAATATTTGTAAGTTGAGCCACTTTTGTTTTGGACAATGTCCTTTAGCTGTGGTGGCTATCTTGATTTGAAGAAGTTCATCAGCTGCAGACTTTACAGCCAACGAGTCCTTTGTGAGCGTTTCATTAAAATCCATCCACAGCTTCAGGAAATATTTTGCTAATGCCAAATAAACAAAAACAACAACAAAAACATTATGACTTCTCATCTTCAGTGGCAGAAAATAAAATGCAGGAATTTGTTTCAGCTTTATTGCCTTATAGCTTTAGTCGCTTCAAAAGACTTAATCAAACTATGATGTTTGCAGATGACATCATGATCTGTGGTGAGAACAGGGAACAGGTGGAAGAGAACTTGGAGAGGTGGAGGTATGCACCTGAAAGAAGAGGAATGAAAGTCAGTCGTAGTAAGACAGAGTCCATGTGTGTGGATGAGAGGGAGGAGGTGGAACAGTGAGGCTACAAGGAGCAGAGGTCACAAAGGTGCAGGACTTCAAGGACTTGGGGTCCACTGTCCAGGAACATGGGGAGTGTGGTGAAGAAGAGAGTCCAGGCAGGATGGAGTGATGGAGAAAAGTTTACAAGACAGTGGTGAGACCAGCTATGTTGTATGTTCTGGAGACATTTCATCCTGCCTGGACTTTCAACTGGAAGATAAAGTTAGAGAGACCAGACCGAGATGGTTTGGACATGTCCAGAGGAGGGACAGTGGTTTGGACATGTCCAGAGGAGGGACAGTGGTTTGGACATGTCTAGAGGAGGGACAGTGGTTTGGACATGTTCAGAGGAGGGACAGTGGTTTGGACATGTCCAGAGGAGGGACAGTGGTTTGGACATGTCCAGAGGAGGGACAGTGGTTTGGACATGTTCAGAGGAGGGACAGTGGTTTGGACATGTCCAGAGGAGGGACAGTGGTTTGGACATGTCCAGAGGAGGGACAGTGGTTTGGACATGTTCAGAGGAGGGACAGTGGTTTGGACATGTCCAGAGGAGGGACAGTGGTTTGGACATGTTCAGAGGAGGGACAGTGGTTTGGACATGTTCAGAGGAGGGACAGTGGTTTGAACATGTCCAGAGGAGGGACAGTGGTTTGGACATGTCCAGAGGAGGGACAGTGGTTTGGACATGTCCAGAGGAGGGACAGTGGGTATATTGGTAGAAGGATGTTAGAAATGCAGCTGCAGGAAAAAGACAAAGAGGAGACATATGGATGCAGTTAGAGAGGACATGGAGGAAGTTGGAGTGAGGACAGAGGACAGAGATGGAAGAGGAGGACTTGCTGTGGAGACCTCTGAAGATGGAAAAGACACAAACAAAAAGACGAATCAATGAAAATAACCCCCTGATCCTTCTGTGTATCATAACTCATGTTCATGATGTTCAGACAGGTCATCCGGGCGCTTTGGTTTTGGCTGATCCTCAGACCGATGAGTCTTAAAGATCCAGTGAGGACACTGTCACGAAGAAGCATGTGACCACACGACTCTGCTGATGTGCACAGTGTCCCCACGTCCTTGAGAAGCCACTACAGACTTGTGTTCACATTGAAATCAGACTCAGAATCAATGACTGCATTGATTAGTATCAGTATACAGACTTTGAAGTGTCAGCCTCTAAAGTGTGAGTTAACCCTCCCATTTACTCCGGGGTCGCAGGAGGAGATGGACACTTGCAGCCACATCTGTCAGAGCGGATGCAGCTGACGTTAGTGTCATAATAATCATCTTGCTTGAAAAAGACAATTGAGACACAACTTGTGTGGAACACTAAAAATGAACATTGTTTCTGGGAAACAGGTATTCTGTCTCTATAAACTGTTCAGGACCACAAGGTCTCAAACAAATCAACTTTTTTCTAAATCTTTGTTGAAAGTCTAATGATGTCCACACGTCTTGCATTTAAAACCTAAATGAATGGGTCCAAATCAGAAAGAAGACAGGAGGAACACAACTTGTTCGAGTAAAAGCAACATAACTTTACTTTGAGTTAAATCTCAGCGCAGTGCTTCCGTCCTCCTCTGACATCAACAAGGTGTTTTCATCCACACAGCTGCCCCTTGCAGGACGTTTCCTCTTCTCGGACCGTCCTGTGGATCCAGATGTTGGTCAGACCGTTCTGTAGATCCAGATGTTGGTCAGACCGTTCTGTGGATCCAGATGTTGGTCAGACCGTTCTGTGGATCCAGATGTTGGTCAGACCGTTCTGTAGATCCAGATGTTGGTCAGACAGGGGGGCAGGTGTTTACACATATTTTACTTTCAAAACAAACTTTCAACATAAGACAATTTTTATTTGGTTTGCACATTTTCTATTTTGTTTCATCATTTGTAAGTTATCAGTTTATTGATGTGAAACTGTAAAAATCTCTGATTAATGCAAATCTTCCATCATTTCTTTAGTTGTTTGAAGGGGGGGGGGGGGGGGGGGGCATCGTGACCGACTCAAGTGAACAAGTGAACCCTAACCTGAATCCATGAAGTGAACTGGATCTACAGCTCTAACGGGATGTTTTGTGTTTAACTATAGTGATTATTGCTTTAATTTCCTCCATCGGTCAGGAGGCCCAGGAGCCCCAGGAGCCCCAGGAGGCCCAGGAGGCCCAGGAGGCCCAGGAGCCCCAGGAGGCCCAGGAGGCCCAGGACTGAAGCTCTGTGGGCCTGCTGACCCACGGCAGCAGGAGGGTCGCTCCTCTCATTCAGCTACAGACTTTTTATTTTTTAACTTTCATTGATTTATTTTAGGGCAGCACGGTGGTGCAACTGGTGGAACTGCTGCCTCTCAGCGAGCAGGTCCCGGGTTCAAATCCCGGTCGGGGGCCTGTCTGGGTGTAGTTTACATGTTCTCTCTGTGCTGCGTGGGTTTTCTCCAGGTACTCGAGTTTCTTCCCTCAGATCAAAAACATGCATGTTAGACTGATTGATAACTCTGAATTGTCCCTAGGTGTCCCTGTGATGGACTGGAGACATGTCCAGGGTGTCCCCGCCTCTCACATAGTGACTGCTGGACATGGACACCAGTGACCCCCACGACCCAAAAAGGAAGAAG